TAATTATATTCAGATGTAGCCTTAAATCATGTCCAGACAATCTGACAATTTGGTTATAAAATTTATCTCATTCTTGGTAGAGTTCGTTGTTTCTTTATTTTGCACATTATGCTTTTGTATAAAAAAATGACTTAACTATGTTGATATCTAACAACATCAATCAACGTCAAAATGAGTATTCTCTATATATATTGGTTTAACAGATATTAACACAAATAAAATCTAAATTCGATTGTTAATGATCTTGTTTGATCTCATAAGTACAATATACGAGAACCATTGGATAATGTTGTTTCCCAAACATTATTCTTCCTCTTTTTCCTTTTACATTTTAAATATTCAATTACGTCCTTATTTTGCTCGACACACTTACATATTCAATATCATTCGTCTTTTTAATTTTATATTAAACTAGTGTGGTGAATTGAAATACTTCATTGTTCTAATTACGAGTACTTTCGTTAAATATTTTATTTCGATACACAAAAATTCTTGAAGAACTTGACTTTATTGAAACTTAAATTAGATAATTCTATAAGTTTGTTGTATGCATTATGTCACTATTACACATGTAGGATGGAAGTTCATGCGGTGATAGATCCGACTTGGCTGATTTAGCCAAATAAAAATAATGAGTTATTAGGGCAAATCAAAATTTATTTTAGGATATATGGTATTTTTTATAATGTTATTGAAACTCGAATAAAAAAATATTTTTTTATTGAAACTCATCACCTCGGGGTGACAAGTTCCATGTCACTGTAAAAAAGACGATAAATCCCAAAATAAATTTTAACTTATTCTAATGGACTAAATAAAAAACACATATATCTTACTGAGCCAATTTTACCTCCCGACTTCCTCTATCATCTCATGTTTCATGTTTTATAACTCATGTAGGATAGAGATTTGTTTTGATTAAAAAATAATTGAAGCACTTAAAAAATAGTTATATATAATAATTTAAACTTTAATTTTAATTAAAGATAATTTAAAAACTTAAAATAAAATATATTATAATTTAACAATTACTACTTAACAGAGGAGAAAAATAAATTTTCCTCAGTAATAGGAATTTTGCTACCACAGGAAGACTTCCACGTAGTCGAAGATTTTATAGAAGGGAAAAAAAGATAAGAAGGAAGAATCTGGAGTAGAATAGAAACGTTGTCGTTTAAAGGGGTAATGTTTTTCTACTCAGAATCAAAACGTCTAGATCCAATGTGTGTTGGTATTATCCGGTAAATTTCTTACATACGGCCCGCCTCAGTGAATTCGCGCAGATCCTTCAAACTGAACGTCGAAAGCACGCGCAGGCGATTCATTAGAGAAAGGTAGATTTCTTTATCAAATCAAAATCAGGGGCCTAGCTTCTAAACTATATTTTGATTTTGCAGTTCAAAAAACTTAATTAATGGCGAACAGAAATCAAATCCCCACTAGCAACTCAGCTCTTATTGCAATGATTGCCGATGAGGTGAGTGTTTCTTTTGAAGCTGCCTAAATCAGTACACATATCTCTTCTTATTTTTCCCTTTTTCTGTCACTTTATTGTTTTTTCTCTTATAAATTCGTCGGTCATTCTTCTTGAATTAACTCTGCCTGTCTGAATTTTTATGACAAACAGACGTAATAAACAGAGAAAAGGTTTAATTTGAGGTTTTCCCCCCTTAAAAAAAGAACGGATAAGTTACGTCAACTGAAGCAGCTATCGGGTGAATTGTTACAAGTTTGATGCATGCTGCTTGGACTTAGTAGTCCCGTGCCGATCTGCAAACTCGGCTTAATCTGTTTGTTGTTTTTATGAGTAGGAAAAGTAAATACCATTCAGATTTAGCTCTATGATGAATTATCTTAAGTTCATCACACCATAAACTTCATGGTGAGTTTGCAATTTACTTAATGATTCTCGTATGTTATAAGAAAAATTCACACTTCTATATAGATTTAGCTGATCTGTAAACTCATTCTGCTTGCTTTTTTTGTATGGGGATGAATAGTAAATACCATTTAGATTTAGCTCTATGACAAATCTTCATAAGTTCATAACACCATGAATTTAATGACGAGTTCTGCATTTTCTAAATGATTCCGGTATGTTATAGGACAAGTTCACTAGTTGCCATACAGTTTATCGGATTCCCGCAAAACATATTTATTCAATTATTTACCATGTTTCCTCATTTTGTTAGTAGACCGTAGCAAGAATAAGAGTATGTGTAGGGCATGGCTTGACGAGTTTATGTTCTACGAGTGTTGTTAATATGATGATAATGCCATTACATGTGATTTTCAATGCACTTGACTTGACTTGTCTGATTTATAAATTGTTGGGCTAGGACACGGTGGTTGGTTTTCTGCTGGCTGGTGTGGGTACGTTGACTTGCGGAGGAAGACAAATTATCTTATTGTAGACTCAAGTATGGACTTCAACTTTGAGTGTTTTGTCATTATTATATGAAAAACTTACCTTTCGAGTATGGTCTTTGTCAAACTCTTGTCAACATTTATAGTTGCTTACTTGATATTGGTTGCTTATTCACTCGTGAAATTCAAAGGTTCGCCAGTACTTGCTTTCTATGACTCACCTTAAGAGATCAGAATTAGCCAAATTATGCTCGGCTTGACTGTGGTTTATTGACTGTCTAGATAAATGGGAAGAACAAGATCTGATGCTCAATAAGGAAAATGCCGTATATAATTGTTATACTAAATGTACTCATTTTGATACTTTTTATAATCAATTTAACTACATGGTTAGTTACATATGATCATAGTTAAATTATGTTCTCGGAACTTCTGATTTCAAGTCATTTTTACTTTCGGACTTTTAGGTGTCTTGGTTCTAAAATTTTCATTTGGGTGGAACCATGTGTTTGTGCCTTGTACTGTTTATGGAAACACAAAATGGTTTCTCTCTCAAAAGAAAGGTTTCTAGGAAATTTTTTATTTCATTTTGCATTGTTTGTTTGTCAACTAGGAAAATTAAGTAATAAACCATTCGTCAGGAAATGTTCTTTCATTTGGTAGCAAGGGAGGGGAGGGAAACTTAAACTGGAACGGTAGTGCATTGTACTCCGGTCTGACTTTCAGGATCAGAATAAATTCCAGATTTGTACTCCTCTTAGCTTCTTTTTTCTTTCTTTCTATAAACAATCATCTTGTATGGTTTATTTTTCTTCATAATCAAATTTAATATCACCAGCTTTTTCATCATTCACTCACTGAGTGCTCTTTATTTCCCTTTTAGAAACCACTGTCAAACAAGTTGAAGATGCATTTAAGGAGTTCACAACAAGGGAGGATATTGCTGTCATTCTGATTAGCCAATATGTAAGCATTTTGCAGCATATGTGCCATAAAACATCACTTGTTTTCTGCAAATATCTATATGTTGGTTAAGCAAATATTAAACACCGAAGTCTTAATGTGTGGTGGAGAGATATGAAATGCCCACAAGCTAGGATCATGTAAAATCTCTTGCTTCCATCATCATAATTAATTCACATTTATACCACTCTGTAGAAGTGACGGTTGGTCAATTATCTGTGAAGTGTTAACCGATTGCCTTCATGTCAAAGATGTGTAAACTGGATTCAGTGATGAAGTGCATTGTTTGGGTGATTATATGTGCCAACTTTACTTTACATGAATTACATGATCAACAACAAACAAAGAGACTAGTAAATAGTAATACCGATGACGAGATTTGATTGAATACAAAATCTGGCATTTTATACAATGTTTTTGTAAACTTCGGTCAGCACCTACACTTTCTTTTGCACAACTACTGCATATTTCAGTGCACCGAGAGCATATTTCTTTTGCACAAGATGGGTTGTCACATCTTTCATGCTTTTACTATCATTTTGATAAATTTCCCTTTTGCTATAGTTAGCTCCGTCTTATTCTCTTGTTGGCTATTACCTTACTAGCTAGTTAGATTGATCAAAGGTTTTGACTTCTGATTTTTTAACTTTCATATTTTTATCTACGATGTACCAATCCAGAAACGAGTATAGTTTATATTTGCAATGCGTTTCAGCTCAAGTTTGGTATCCTAATTTAAGCTTGTGCCCTACTACCCCGTTAATTGCAGGTTGCAAATATGATAAGGTTTCTGGTGGATAGCTACAGCAAGCCTGTTCCAGCAATCTTGGAGATTCCATCTAAGGATCATCCGTATGATCCGGCACATGATTCTATTCTTTCACGGGTTAAATACCTCTTTTCTGCAGAATCGGTGGCATCTGGGAGGCGTTAAATGCAGATATGCACTTGTATGACTTAATTGTCGTCTCAACATGTTTCTATTTCCTTCATGCATTGTATATTACAACGTAAATTACTCTTCCCAGAGAGTTGGTGACGATTCTCATCATAGTTTCCGTGACCAGTACGCAACCTTTATTAGGCGAAGATATGCTTTAGTGGCCATGTGAATTGAATAAATGATGTTTGAAGAAACTTTTGGAGTCGGGAGGGGATGCTTTAACAACGTAATAATGGTTTGATTGAAATGCACTGTTAGCTTGAGAGAGTTGAAATCGTGTGGAGAAAGCTAAACTGGGCCTTTGGTTTAGTGTACTGACTACTGAGCCTATTAAATTATTTTATCGGATATGGTAAGAGGTAGGGGTCGACAGGATTCAGGGCTATTAAATATTTACATTAGTTCTGAAATGATCACGATAAAAGAATGAAATTGATACAATTAAATGAGTAAAATAAAATTATTAATTTAAATTTACCACAAAAGTGAAATAACGCTTAGGTCTTAATTATTTTATTATGCTTACGATTGAATGATGATAATAATTGAATATTATTTTTAGAATATGGAGGGGAAGAGAATTCAAAATCAAGAACCACGACTTTTCTATATGGGGGTAGGATAACACCTCATCGAAACTATGGTAGTTATTTACCAGAACCAATGCATGAAGCTGAGATTTCCTAGAAATGACAACCAATGCAAGATGCATTACCCAATTATTTTAACTCTGAAAATAAATATTATTTCAGTGAAAACCACCAGGGAGAAAAATGTTAATAGTTTGATTCGGTTCCATTCTGATGTTCAAGGAATTGCAGATTTCAAGGATTTGGTAAAAGTCTCTAGTTCCTTCAATCCTTCCTCGGGAGACTTGGCTTCACCCAGCACCTTCACCATGGCACTACCAACTATCACACCATCGGCTCCCCACCCGGCTACCTGTCAATCACCACATACTCGTTCATGTTATCAACATTCACATAGAGGCCAAAACTTGGAAAATACTCATGCATCCAGTTGTGTGTTTCAAAAACCAACCTGTTTCACATGTTCTGGTTTCGATATCCCAAAACCAACTGCAACAGGCTTGGATGTCGCCTGCCATAGCAAAGTTTCAAAATATAAGTAAAAGGGGGCTTCGACCATCAGAATGTCTTAAAAGTTTGTTAATTTGTTGCTTAAATACAAAAGATATTTATAATGACTTCGACAAATGCACCGAGCACAGCTCGAACTAATTATAGATCACAGAATAGTTAAGAATGTTATTTAATACTTGGCATTCTAATTAGTGATATACTGACTCTTATTGTCAATACAAACCTCCTTAATTTCGCTTAAAAGGGACAGAACACGACCGCTTACAGATGCACGGGAACCAGTAACTCCGATTGAGCTCACCTGAATTTCCAGCAGACAAGAAACATTAAATGGTTGCAAGGAATTAATCAAAATTCAAATTTTCTTTGTAACAAAACTTTTCATAAAAAGACCTGGTAAATGGCGTAAGTAATCATGGAAAATAATACGAAAAAAAGTGTCATCAAATTTGGAAGAGGGTCTTACAAGATACACAAATCCTTCTGATGCTTCAACAATAGCTTTCATTCGGTCTGTCGGTGTAGTTGGTGTTGTAAGCAGTACCTTAACCGCACGAGCAGATAAGCCATGTTAGATTTGACTTTTATTCCAGAAAAGCAAAAGAGGAAGATATATGATGCAGTATGGAATCGGATAGGTAATCAGTTCCTAACGTGCCTTCAAATATCCAATTCTATAGTAAAACCAACTAAGTATATTCTTGTAGTGGGGGCGTACCAGTTCGATCTTATTTTTAAGAGCTTCTCTTCTCAAAATTTCAGTCTCCTCAAGAGGGACATCCGGAACAACAAGTCCTGCAAGGATTTATGGAATTATCGATGTAAGAACATCATACAAATGTTGGGAATCTTAAAGGGAATAAGAGCAAAACATGCTAATTTCCTCAATGAAAAAGCCTCAAGTTATAGATATCAGGCCTATGTTTTGGATTAGATAAAAAACAATCCCAAGATAGAAACAAAAGCAGCACAACCAACACCATAGTTCAAATTACTTTGTCTTAACAAACCCCCAAAAACTTAAAAAGAAAAAATAATCATAACTGTGGCTACAAATAAAGCTAAATATGTTGAGCAAAGGAACTAGTCACAATCATAATTTACGTTAGGCACTGTTGAATCATTCATCAGAAATTCTAAAAAACAATCAAAAGCATAACTATGGAACAATTAACATTCAACAGTTACAAAAGTAGCACTTGTCCAGTCAATTAATTGCAATGACACTGGCCCGATAAATTGGAGTTTGAGAAACATACGAGTCTTTGCACTAAATGACATAAAAACAGAATAATGCATATGCAAAGCCTAGAATTTACAGATTTAAATTGAATCATGGGGTATAATAGAATAGCAATGAAATTTTAAATTAAGCAAAAGCATAACATGTTATTTACCGTGTATGCCTACATCCTTTACAGTGCTCATAAACTGCTCAACCCCACGCTTCAGAATTGGGTTGTAATATGTAAACAAAGCAATTGGGCAAGATAACTGTGGAACCACCTGTACAATTTAAAAATACATAATTATAATACAAACCTCGGGTTAGGAAATAAACATAGCTGCCATGGCACTGGGCACTAGTCCTACCTCCTTCAACATTGCAAGAATAGCATTAAAGTTGGTTCCTTTTGCCAATGATCGCGTAGCTGCCGCCTAAACAAAAGAAACATCAGTAAGATATTTGAAAAATAAATAAATAGATTCACGAAAAGAACTACATTGTTAACAGACCTGGATTACCGGACCATCAGCCAGAGGATCAGAGTACGGTACACCCAGTTCAATTATGTCTGAGCCACATGAGTCGAGGACCTTAAGAGCCTCTGCTGTTGTTGAAAGATCAGGATCCCCAGCTGTGATGTATGGGATGAATGCAACCTTAGGAAATAAAATGCTTGTTAGACTAGACAGCAACCTTCAGCAATCAATGGCTAAAGTATAATAGAGTTGCAAGTACAAATTTCATGTCATTGAACATAAACATTTTTCATCCTTATTGAAACAATTTAGGGAGCTAAACATAGAAATTTGTTTCAAGAAATTTGAATCAAGAGACATGTCATGTGAGTCGCGACTTTGTCGCCCTAAAAACTTTCATCCTTCCTTGATAGTTTTTCTTGAATTTTCAAAATAACGAAGGTATTCTTTCATCAAGTGTAGAATTTACATCATCAAACTACCGCATCTTTTTCTTCTTCTAAATAAAGCCACATCACCTATCTAGAATCTCAAAACCAATCTAATAAGGCAATGAAGGTCAAAGTCGTAAAAAGGGTGAACTAAACTCTGGCTACCTTACTGATATAACCCATGAAAGAATCAATCCAGCAAGGAATATTACCCTAACAAACCCATGATTTCTCAAATGCAAGCTTAAAATGAACTAGAAACTCTGGCTACCACACAAAAAAATAGATGAATATAATATAAAGTTGGAATATTTATGTCATAATAAGCCTATATAATCAAATTCTTACGCTCGACTTACAGCAGTAAAGGAATACCCATGAGGTCAAAAGGAGGGGGGGGGGAAATGCTTACTTTGCCCTGTTTTTTCAATTTAGAGAAGGTATCAGAAAGGCCAAGAGTTGGAGCGGTGGTTATGACAGCCATTGGAGTGAATCTCTTAGTTGAAACAAAGGCTTTACCGGAGGGAAACCGATATGGGGGAGAGATGGTGTTGTGGTTCTTTAACTGGAGAAAACCTGCTGCTGCTGACTTGAGAGAGAGAGCCATTACGGTGTTCTTTTCTTTTTGATAAAATGAATTGTTTATTCAGGGTGTCCCATTTTAAGCAGTTTTGCTGGGTTACCATTCACCATAAATCTAAGTTGGCCGAACCTAAATAGGAAAAAGCCTAATTCTATAAATTTGGGTTGGTGGAATGTTTATCCTTTTTTTTAAAAAATAAAAATAGTCTTTTTTTATATATCTCGTTAGCGAGCCCTTTTTTTTAATTCTTAAACTATCTAGGGCAATCCTAACAAATATAGTTAATTAATTTAATTTTTAGTAAGAGAAAATATTGGTTTATTTAGATCTCTTGAATTTAGACCATTGTGCATATATTATCAATTCAGTATGAAAATTCTGAATAATTATTACATTATAATTATATTATTAAAAAAAACCTTTTGGTATTACATGTTTAATAGTAAAATATAGGTTGTGATAGTTAAGAATGATTTAGAACTCACCCCTTCCTCAATATTGTATGCGGTTCTATATATTGATGTTTAGTAATTAGTATTGATGTCAGACCTAATATCATGATAAATACTTGTAAAATCGTAAGATTAAAAGATATAATTGTCTGATAATAAATTTAATCTTTAACATATTACGTGGATCTATAAAAAATAATGTTAAAGGGTTAATAATCATGAATCTTTAAAGTATTTGATTAGCAAAGAAACTTCATAGGCTTTGATAGACGGAGAAAATGTGTTCACAAAGAAGTTCTTTCATAAGGTATAGCAGTCACTTATTAATATTTGTAATATTTTTATGTATTATTATTTAAAATATTGAAAGAAAAATAATAATTTCTCACACAATATTTAAATAATTTAAATTTTTAAATTTATTTAAAATGACATTCAACATTGTTCGAACAATGTTTAGAAAATTATTTTTTATATTGTTTGTATATCAAATAATATTCTATTATTATATTTAATAGATAATATATATATATATATATATATATAAGGTGTGTTTGAAAACTTGTTAGTAATTGAATCGTATAATTATTTTTGATAACTTTCCTTCTTCTTTTTTTTACTTAACGGTTGAGAATTGAAGAACTATTTGAGTAATTAAACATGATTATTTTTCTGGATATATTTGATTAATAAATTATAATTATATTTTATTATTAAATATAACTAAAAATTAAATTATTTATAATTTTAATAAGATGACATTAGATTTTTTTCGATTAATCTCCAGCATCTAAACATATTCAAAATATATAAAAAAAATTAAATTTAAATTACATAAATTTCAAACGTGTACTTAAAAGAAAATTGTAAAGGCTGAATTTGTTTAAAAAACAAATATGGACAAATTAAATGAGAGAAAAGTAGATGAGATGAATAATACCAACTTGAGCAATTGTTTTTTAAAACGTAACAGTCGTGCAGCTGGAGGAGACGAAACCCAGAGAGGGGAACCAGGAGAGCAGAGGGCAGCACGAGTATGAACATGGGCAACCTCATCACCTGCACGACCAACATGGAGAAAATTGCTCGACTGAAAGGTCCGAGCGAGACCATTAATCAACGATCCCCCATAAGAGAGATCAATATCAGCCATTCAGCCCTCAGAATGACCGAGAGAGAGTCACCTTCGACCTCAACAAAAGGCCAAACCCGCTCGCGAGCCAACAAGAGACTTTCCAAACATGCTTGTGCCTCAACAAGGAACGGCTCAAGGGTCGATTGTTCTCTTCTTTAGTTTACTTTCTTTTGTTTTGTCGGTTTGCATTTGTTTTGTCATTTGTTTGAACGTTTTATATGACCTGATGACGTTTTTTTAAAAATAAATTTAATCGGCGTTTTAAGTCAAAAATTACAAATAAAAGACGCCGTTGTAAGACCAACTACTATCGATTAATACAGAGAAAAAAAGAAAAGAAAAGAAAAATAACACGGTTTCTCATAAAATCAATTAGTTGAAAATTGATTTAATTTTTTATATTTTGAGTTAATGATTTTTAATCCTAGTTTTCTCTATTTTACTTGTATCGTCGTTAGTTTTTTTTTTTTAATTTTTGTAACCGACTGACGGCAACACTGGTTTAAGTGCCGTTTGTCGATATTCATTATTTTTATTTTATTTTATTTTATTATATTGTATCTTTATTTTTTTATTTTTATTTTTTAGCAACTCTGTCTTTATGACATAATTTTTTCTACTTTTATGACACGTTTTTTTTTCTTTTGACACGTTTTCAATTGTTTGATCGTTATTTTCGTTTATTTTTTTAGCGTTATTTTTAACATCGCAATGACTGATCAAGATGACACGTTTGTTATCATACTGATCTTTCCTGCTTTAGACCCGTTGATTGAATTTCAATATACAATTTGGTTTATAAATAGTTTTCTCACGTCGCTCTATTCTATTTGCGGTTTGTAAATGGTATTTCAAGAGATTAATCCCTTTGTGTTAATAATTATAATAAAATGTTCTTATTATGTGTTTTAGTTTACTGTTGTAGTTGTAAACTTTTATTATAATTTGAATATTTTTAATAAAACTAACGGTTTATATATTGTCAAAAAAATTATATTTAGACCGTTTGTATTTCATGATTTAAAAATTATCATTATAATCCAATTAATATTTTATTTAATTTATATTAATTTATAATATAAAATAAATATTTTATTTATAAAACAATGAAATAATTTGAAATATTAATTATGAAAAATAATTAGTTTTATGAAAAAAATATTTTAATAATTATTTTTATTTAAAAAGTTTATAATATTTAATACATACTTTAAAAAAATACATAAATAAAATTATTTTATTAAAATAAAATATAAAACCTAACATTCCAGACTAATATAAAAAGGGTAAACTATGTAAATGATCACTAATGTTTGAGTAAGTTTTTATTATCACCACTGATGTTTTAAAAGTCACAAGTCGATCACTAACGTTATTGTTGTTACAAATTGGCCACTCAGCGTTACCAACCGTTAGGAAAACACAACTGGCGTGTTAACTGCTTACATGGACTGACTTGAATGGGTTAACCGCCACGTTCGAGACCCAAAAGCCTTCAACGATCACTCTTCTCCTTTAAAAATCTCAATCTCTAAACTTAATTTGCGGTTTTTCATTCCTATCTCTATTTTTTTTTTAAATTATGAAAAATTGTAAGAGAAAAGAAATCCTATAAAGATGGAAGACTTCACTGATGTTCTGCTTTGCAACTATGGATGCCCAACTAAAGTTTTTTTTTCCTATCAAACCCAAAAGAAGCTTACCATAAAACATAGCGTTGTCCCTCCTTTGTCGTAACCTCCATGTAAGTACGATGGTTTTTCTTTGCTCGTTTTTCTCTCTACTTTTTTTCGCATACTAATGAAAGAAGAAGAAATGAGTTTATGGAAGAAGAACACATGAGTTTATGGAAGAAGAAACATGTTTGTGGAAGAAAAATGGGTATGAAAGAGAAATAAATGAGTTTATGAAAGAAGAATAAGAAAGGGGTTATGGACAATTTATGTATAAGAAAAAATAGGTTTATGGAAGAAGAAGTATTTATGAAGAAGAAAATGTTTATGGAAAAAGAAGAATGGTTCAAAATGGTAAATGAAACCATTGATTCCCCCCTTTATTAATTAACTAATTAATCATTAATTACCTATTAGTTCAAGCACCGATCAAAGGGATTCCAGTGATCCTCCAACGTGGCAGTCAAAAGTCCATGTAAGCAGTTAACATGTCAACTGTGTTTTTTGTCACGCTTGTTAATGGTTGTTAACATCGAGTGATCAATTTGTAACAAACGATAACATTAATGATCAATTTGTGGCTTTTGAAACATCAGTGATAAAAACAAAAATTTACTCCAACATTAATGACAACTGTGTAGTTTACCCTATAAAAAATTTGATGAATTATAAAAAAATTATAAATTAAAAATTAAAATGGAACCGAATCATATGGAATCATACTTTCCCACACATATATCTGATCAAACTTCAACCCCTTTAACACAAAAGGTTACATTTTTAACCCCTTTTCCTCTTCGTTTCTTTCTCAGAGCTCACAAGAGAAGAACCCCCGAATACCCAAGTATCTAAAGATCGAAGCTTGAAAACAGAAAGATATGAACTGACTTCATTTTCTCTTTTAATATTCTGCTGGGTTTTCAATTTGTTTGCATTTTGTGCTCTTTGGTAGCTTTAACACGGTACTTCAACTCACTTCGAACTCTCTTCGACCTTCTCATGGCTAACAACCCCCACGAAGCTCCCGCGGATGATTTCCTCGAGCAAATCCTCGGTCTCCCTAACTTCGCGCCTTCTGAGGCGGGTTTGGCGGGACCAGACAGTGGAATGGCTGGGACAGCTGCGGGAGTTGCGGCGCCAATGTTTCTACAGCTCAGCTCCGGTGACGGAGCCGGACATCTTGGAGGAATGGGAGGCGGCGCGTTTCCCGGACAGGTTTTTCCTTTGGGGTTGAGCTTGGACCAAGGAAAAGGTGGGCTTTTGAAGCCCGAGGAAGCTTCCGGTAGCAGCAAGCGCTTTCGCGATGAAGTCGTTGATTGCAGGGTTTCTTCTGTGAAAAATGTAAGGAAATAGTAATTTTATTAGTACATCAGCGTCTTCCTAGCATCTTCTGGGTGACATAAACCGACTTGCAGTGTAGAATTATTCAATTCCACTGCTAATTACCCCAAAATGAAAGCTTTACTCTTCGAGGATCGAAGAGTCTTATAGTGAAAGAAAATTCACATATCAGAACAGCCTAGCTGCCAAATATTGTGAACATCATATAAGATGGAGTTCACTTATTTGTGGAAGGTGTCAAATGTCCGAACAGTTTCTGATCATGTTAGAAGATGTTATATCATCTGAAGCAGTTGTTAGTCAGAGATGCCTTTTTTCATCTTTTTTTTTAAAAAAAAAAATCTTCAAACAGGGTTTGATGTTTGCCTAAAAAAATACAGGCAGACCCTTCATGTCTTGACAAGTTAAAGATGAAAAAGGGGAAGGGAATTGTCAAACCTCACTTGATATGCTATTCTCTTTTGTATCAAAG